TACTCTCTCTCTCTCTCTCTCTCTCTCTCTCTCTTTTCCATTTTCGAATCGATAAAAACCAAAACCCCCAACCATGGTTTTGCATCCAATACAGAGAAACTCGAATTTTGGGGGTTTGTATTCCATTTTTTCCTATTTTTTTTGGGGGTTTTCGTTTGACCAAAAAAGGCCCTAATTTTTTTGGGGGTTTTTGTTTGACCATAAAAAAAGCCCTAACTTCATTTCACCATGAAACAGAATGCAGGTATCCGGAGCTCAAAGTGATAATACCCTGCTTCGAATCGTCTGTCACTCATTTGGCATCTCCCATTCCCCTTGTGGCTGAATGCCCTGATTATCCCATTTTCAGGTAACATCTCTCTCTCTCATTCAACAAATTTTTTTTTTGCTCTCTCTCTCAAGCAATTAGCCATTGCCCCTTGGATTGAAATATTGGAATTACATGATTATCCCACCATATCCATTATGATCATCTTCTATGATTAAATTGATAAAAGAGCACATTCATGATTCAATCAACATCTCTCAACATCTACAATACTATCGTAATGTTTGATCTGATATTTCCCACAATTTATAGATATGTAATGTTTGATCAGCTGTTATTTTTTTTTTTAAAACAAATATTAATATTTGATTTTTTTTTCTTTTTGTTTCATTTGATTTTATTCGAACTACCAGTTTGTAATGTTTGATTTGCTGCTACTTTATTTTCTTTTTGTAATATTTGATTTGTTGTTATTGAGGAATAAGATTGTTTGTAGGATTTGAGTCATAGAAACTGCTCTGTAGCTCCAACTTACTTTTAGGTTCTTGAAGGTGAGTCCTGTTGATTTTCTTAATAGATTTTTTGGCAAATATAATTTGCTTAGGTATTTCAGTATAATTGAAATAAATTCGGCTGCAATTTTTGGCATTGAGTATCCCTTTTATAAACAAATGCAGCTGTTCTATATAATCAAGTGCCACTCATTTTAGTCCTATTGAACTTCTTTGTTTCATGAAATCTAGGAATAGGCTGCCTCTTGCTTTCAGTTTATTTGGATTGGATTCTTCCATATCAAAGTTGGTTAGAACCTTCATGCCATTAGTGTCCTTGTTAACCTTCATGTTGATTTTCTTAATAGATTTTTTGGCAAATATAATCTGTTTAGGTGGGTGAGGTCTTCTGTTCTTCAATGAGTTGCTTGTTATCTGAATAAGAAAAGAAAAAAAAGAAAGTTGAATTAATGTCAAACCTTTCTTGGCTCTGTTTGTCCTTTGCTCTTTGACAAAATAGTTTGCATATGTTCACTTCAATGGCTGAGTCAATCCATGATCTGCTGTTACTTTTTTTTTAGAATAAATATTAATATTTGATTTTATTCGAACTATCAGTCTGTAATGTTTGATTTGCTGTTACTTTTTGTTCTTTTTGTAATGTTTGATTTGCTGCTATTGAGGAATAAGATTGCTTGTGGGACACTTTTGAGTCGTATGAACTCTGATATTTTCCACAATATCACAAAAATATGATTGGTATTCTTATGATGAATGTTTAAATAAATGTATTTGTGTACTTTGCAGTTTCACATAGGGTAAGTAAAAAAACTGAGATGGATCCCATAAATTTAGTCTGTGTGGCATCTAACACATATCCAAATGTAGGCAGCATTGATGAAATCCCTGATGGTGGTCGTGGCTCACCACACAAAAGTCAAGAAATAGAGGAACCATGTGTAGAAATGAAGTTGGGATCAGATGATGCTGCATACGAGTTTTTTAAGTCTTTTGCATTACCAAAGGTTTTGGTATTCGTAGGGGGGAGTACTCATACCAACAAAGGTAAACGAATTGATAAGGTTTTTGTTTGCTCCAATTTTAAACAAAAAAAACCTAATAAAAGTGGAAAGGTTTACCCTGAGTTAAAGTGTGGGTGCAAGGTTAGGATGTGCATAAGTAGTCAAGAAAACGAAGAGTGGAAAGTGATTAACGTCGATCTAGATTATAATCATGATCTAGTTAGTCTAAGAAAAGCTCGTCTAATTCGCACACACCAATCATTGTCGAGTACTACAAAGTCATTGATACATTCAATGAGCTCGACAATGGTTAAGCCTAGACATATTCATAGAGCAGGCTGGAGGGATAGACAATGTCCCTTGTACACAAAAGGACATTCAAAAAAAAATAGCAACCACTAGAAGAAAACTTAGAGGAAACGATGTCAATTTAATTTTGCAATGACTCTATAAAAAGAAGCAATCGAACCCATCATTTTTCTATGGATTGAGATTAGATGATGAGGATCACATTCGCAGTATTTTATGGGTAGATTCTACATCTAGCGTTTCCCTCCAGTGCTTTTCTGGTGTGGTTACCTTTGATACCACATACAAGACAAATGCATTTGGTATGCCTTTTGCACCTATACTTGGTGTAAACCACCATTTTAGTACAACTTTCTTTGGATTTACTCTCATATTTGACAAGAAGATAGAATAATTTATATGGGTATTTGAAAACTGGTTGGAAGCCTTGGGTGGACGACAACCGTGAGTAATTCTCATTGATCAAGATCCGACAATTTTATATGTAGTGAGACAAGTTCTTTACCAAAGTAAGCATCATTATTGTAAGTGGCACATATTTGCGAAGATCAAAGAAATAATGTGTCATGTGTTGCGCATGCGTCCTTCTTATTCAGATACCTTTCGGAGGTGTGTGGCTAGCCCAACTATTGAAGAATTTGAATTCGCTTGGAAATCAATGATTGATAATTATAACCTGGAAGACAATGAATGGCTCAATAGGCTTTATGGTTGTCGCATGCAATAGGTTGACGCATACTTGGCTGGCACGTTCACTGCTGGTATGACTTCTACTCCAAGGAGTGAGGGGATGAATTCTCACTTCAAAACGTACTTGACACCCACAACAAGCTTGCGTTCATTATTAGAAGTTGTTGCAAAAGTCAAAGATAAGAAGGTGCGAAAAGAGAGGGAAAATGACTTGAAAGATATTCAAACTATTCTAGTCTTGCGAACAACCACTTTCATTGAGGCACATGCATAAAAAATATATTCTCAAAAGATTTTAAAGATAATTGGGAAAGAAATGGCTAATTGCTTTAATTTACGAGGGAGACAGTTGAAGACAATAGACAGTTTGCAACCTTTAAGGTGGCACTCCTGGGGACCAGAACTAAATCGTATTTAGTGAAATTCAATTGCCATGACAATTTCGTTTCTTGCTCTTGTCATTTCTTTGAGAGGATGGACCTTCCTTCTTTGTAGGCATGTACTGAAGATTTTTATGGTGAAAGATGTGTTTGAAATCCCTCCGTAATATATAATGAAGCGTTGGACCAAGGATGTAAAGGAGGGAGTTTTCATTGATGACATTGGGGAACAAATTAAAGTAATATATGAACTACCACGCTCCATTTGATATAATGAGGTTATGCCAACAAGTCGATCCTTTGTCGAGCGTGCTTCACAAAGTGTAGAGGGCTATGAGTTTGTAATGACTATAACAAAAAATAGAATTCGTCAATTTGATGAAAAGTTCGTGTCCAGGAGAGATCCATAGGATAATGCCATGATCAATGTCAATGAACATGTCAATTATGCTAGTTGTAGTAACACACCAAGTGAAAGTAACTATTGGCGTAATGTCCTTGAACCTCCATGAGCACGGACAAAGGGACGACCGGCTACTAAAAGAATGAAACCTCGATCTAAAGGATGGAAGCCGAAAAAAAGGAACTGCGCAGTCTGCAATGGCAGTGGGCATGACAAAAGGAACTGCCCGTCGTTTGTTTGTGATAGGTACAACTGTTTACCTTTACATTAATTTGATATGCAATTGTATTATATTCATTATTATTGATGTATTTGATTTACAATTATATTAGCTCCAATTTAAATGCTAACATATGAATTTATCTTCCTCTTACAATGCTAAGGAAAAAATACGTCGTACGGTAAGGAATGAGAAGGCAACAGAAGTGAGTTGATGGTAAGAGTCACTCGCATCACCCTAAGTTTTTGCTCCTTGATACCAAAGTGTAGTAGTTAAATTATTGTGAATGGAATTACTAGTTCAATGTAAAGATAACCCATTATTGGAAACATGAGGCAATTGTAGCATCTTTTTGTGATGCATCTATTAGTTTCTATTATTCCATGTTTGGAGCTTAGTTCACAAACTTCATTTGGGACCTTGTTGAAGAAGTTAGTCCTATGATTCAATATTATATTCATCAGAGTTATCCTTGTACGAGCCACTGACAGGTGAGCATTGGTTTCCACTCCCTCAAAAGCTGCTATAAGGTTGTAGAGATAGTTTTGTAATACTAGCATTCTGATTTTATTTTGTTCTTATGCATTTTGCCCTTATGCATTACTCTTTGTATTTCATGTGTTATCTTCACCCAAATTCATTGGTATTTTTGGTTGCGCATTTGCTCAACATATCTAGAAAGTTTGGAATATTTCTCATTTCAATTCTATTTGGCAGGGTGGGTGTCAGATTGGAATGGCTAAAGTGACAAATGCATATGACCTTCTTGCAAGGTAGCTATTTGAATCTTGACATTTTATTTTAAAAAGCTGAGTTACTTCCCTTATATCATTGTACTTAATTCTTGTTTCTCATGCAACTCATTGCTTTAAAAAAAATATTCTGAATATTTTGAGGCATTGTTATGTGGATGTATTAGGAAATGAATTGCTTATATGCTCTATGATATGGCAAGAGGGTTATTCACACAGTTGGTCCTAAGTTTGCTGTCAAATAATATACGTCTGCCGAAAATATTCTGAATATTTTGAGGCATTGTTATGTGGATGTATTAGGAAATGAATTGCTTATATGCTCTATGATATGGCAAGTAGGTTATTCACACAGTTGGTCCTAAGTTTGCTGTCAAATAATATACGTCTGCCGAAAATGCTCTCAGCCATTGCTATCGTTCTTGTCTCAAGTTTCTTATTGAGAATGGACTTCAGAGGTGGTCATGTGAGCTTTTGTAGTGGTTGGAGTGATGTATAATATTATTCTCTTCTGTTTTGTAGTGGTTGGGCTAACTTGAGAGTTTGGTATTACTTTATTTTGTCAATGCCCCAGCTGGTATGTGTAAATGGTTAAAAGTATGTGGTTCACCATTAGCCTGAAGACTTTTGTATGTGGTTCAACATTAGCCAAACAAAAATTTATATCTCAATGAATTATGGTGATATGTTGGTTAGTTTGGTATGGCTCCCAGTATTTAGCCATGTTGAGGGAACGTGGCTTGTTGATTTTGAATAAGGAGGAAAGTGAGAGAGGGAGGGAGAGAGCGGTTGGTACATGGAACGGGTAAAAAGGGCACCAGAGATTGGGGTTTGTGTGCTTGGACTTTTACAGCAAATTGGGCACTTATGTAAGTGGTCTGCCCATCCAGCAATGAATTGAAAACAACTACGGAAAGGGGTCATTTTTTTCCCACGAGGGGTGGTGGGTGGTGGTGCAAACCACGTGCTAAAGCTCAAGGGAAGGCATGGAGTCAAACAACCCTCATCACATGCTGATAGGGTACACGGATGAGGACCAACTTGGCTTTAGCCGTGAGGAACAACCCCCAATTCTCAAGCTACTCCAAACTCGACCCACGCCCATTGCACCCTCTCTCTCTCTCTCTCTCAAAAGAAGATGCACAAGGGGATAAATATATGTGTTATCGGTGTCACGCAAGAGGACCTCCAAACTCTTGCGGCTTCATATTACAAGAAAAGAAACAGCTCAACGACAACAAAATATAATAGTACAAATCTTAGGAGATGAGATGAGATATTAGGAGAGAGATAGACAGGGAGAGTGAACAAAGAAACAAATAGAACTAACAAAGAATAGAAACTCTCTTCTTGTGAGTAGCTATGTATGATGTTCTGGGGCCTCTCTTCTCCAATCCCGATCATGGATCTCCCAATTGTGGTTTTAGTTAAGGAAAACGTTTATATAAGGTTGCAACTTTATATGTAGAATTACAGATGCACTTAAAAAATCCATCAGAAAAGGCAGTTTTAATGTTGAAAAACCTTTTGATTCATCATCTAGACATCGAGATGTATGACCATGAAAAACAAAAAGATTTTAAGTCTAAAAAATAGTGCCTTTTACAACATATTATCTACACCGTCCATTTTCAAGATTTTCATATGTTTATAGATCTACTTGATTTTAACCACTTTTGAAATTTAAAATTTTACAATTAGATATTGTTTGAATGTATATTTCAGCACCTTAATCCCTGATTAGGAATAAGTAGGAAGCAGGTCAATAAAGCTTACAAAACAGTGGAAATTCCCAACAGTCTCATAATGGCTCCAGAATCGGTCAAGACCTTCATCAACACTTCAAAAGCCACCTGCTAAGTTTCATCGCGATCAGACATGTATAATGCAGTGAACACAAAGAAATAACTTCAGCAAAATCGATCTCCAGCACCCTGAAATGGACCCTATAACTAGAGTTATACTTTTGGTATATCAAACAGTTGTGGGACTACCTTCATTAGATCCGACACGGTCAAAATCCCCTATGAGTCAAGTTTCGATTTAATCGGGCACTCCAAGATAAAGTTATGGGTAAAAGACTAAAAAGGTAGGCCGCACACTATTCCTGTGAGGCCTCACTGCACCAAAACACCATTAAAGGTGGTTGTTTTTACAACCATGGGTAGTCACTTTCGAGACCTATAACTCACTCGTTTCAAGTCGGATCGCTCCCAAATTTGGTGAGCGTGTTCATCTCATCAAGACGAAGAATTCGATATGTGGTACATCTCGTGACCAAGCCCGAGCAGAGAGAAAAGCTAAATGAAAGTCACTAATCCCTGAAAGAAGTTACAGAAAATTCAGCAGCGGTATGCCTTGTTCGAGCAGCCAGATCACTACGTTCGCATACCTGATAGGCATGAAACCAATTGCATGATGTGCGTGAGGTCTGAGGCTATCGCTGGTCCAAAATTTGCATATGATGAACGGTTGGATTTCACACACGAAGGCGACAAAGAAGCTGGAAATTTTTGCCAAAAACTCAAGATGACAAACCTTCATTCAGACACTAAATCGAGCTGCGATCATTGTAACGTTATCGTGATGGCATGCTCAGTGTGATTCAATGAAGAAGTCACGAAGAAACATTAAGGAACGAGCACACAATCGATCCGAAATTTTCAAGATTCATCCAAAATTCAAGTCTCATGATCATGGCTAAAAAACATGAATCATGGCTCGAAGTTGGTATCAAAATGATCGTCATGCCGAGCCCTACAAGAAAACAATAATCTTTTGATCAAAGGGGCATCAGAACGACCCCGAGTCAGCCATGAAAGATCACGCAAGTTCTCGAGCAGCAATAGGGACTGTTTTGGAATTCCACACATTTTTAGGCAGGGGCAAAACGGTCCTTTTGCACCCATTTTTAAAATTTCTTTAAATTCAATTAAATTGTAATTATCTTCAATTCTAGGTAGTTTTTGGACGTACACCCACATTTTAGCCCAATTCTATATAAGCAGGTAATGCCTCATTGTATAAAAAAAGGGATTCATTCTTCTTGAATCAATCAATAAAATTCTGATTTTTGCTTGAGCTTGGGGGTACGTCTTGGAGAGAAAGAGAGAGGGGAGAGAAGAAAAGAGCCGATACCTTTCGGGCAGGTAACTTTCTCTCTCCTCCCCTCTTTCTCTCTGCTCCACTCTTCTTGTCTCTATCTCTTTCTCTCTCTTATCTTTTCATCTCTCTTTCCATCTCTCTTTCTCTCTCCTCCACTCTTCTCATTTTTATCTTTGTCTCGCTCCTCCCATCTTTTTCTCTCCTCTCTTCTCATCTCTATCTCTCTCTCTTCTTCTCATCTCTATCTCTATTCTCTTTCTTTTTTTGTCAATCAGCGAAACCTAGCACCGGTTGGTTTTCCCTCTTCCTCTTTTGTCAATCGGTAAAGCCTAGCGCTTGTTGGTTTTCTCTCTTCTTCTCTATCTCTATTCTCTTTCCTCTTCTGTCAATCGGTGAAACCTAGCACCGGTTGGTTTTCTTTCTTGCTCTTTTGTCAATCAGCAAAGCTTAGCGCTTGTTGGTTTTCTCTCTTCTTCTTCTGTCAATCGGTGAAGCCTAGTGCCGATTGGTTTTCTCTCTTTCCTCTTTTGTCAGTCGGCGAAGTCTAACGTCATCTAGATATTTCTCTCCTCCTTTCTGTCAATCGGCAAAGCCTAGCGCTGGTTAGTTTTCTCTCTTTCCTCTTCTGTCAATTGGCGAAGTATAGCACAGGTTGGTTTTCTCTCTTTCCTCTTCTGTCAATCGGTGAAGCCTAGCACCGATTGGTTTCTCTTTCCTCTTCTATCAGTCGGTGAAGCCTAACACCGACTGGAGTTTTCTCTCTCTTTCTTCTATTGCAACCGGTACAAGCTTGGCGCCAGCTCGATCTCTCTCTCTTGCTTATCTCCCATGTCAATCGGTGAAGCCTAGCATCGATTGGTTCTCTCTTTCCTCTTCTGTCAATCGGCGAAGCCTAGCACCGATTGGTTTTCTCTCTCTCCCTTCTGCCACAATCAGCGAGGCCTAGCGCCAATTGATTTTCTCTCTCTTCTCTTCTGTCAATCGGTGAAGCCTAGCACCGGTTGGATTTTTCTCTTTCTTTCTTCTGTTGCAACGGGCGCAAGCCTAGCACCGGTTCGCTCTCTCTCTCTTTTATCCTCTCGTGTTTCATACTCTTCTCTTCCTTTCTTCTCCCTCCTCTCTTCTGTTCCCTTGTTTTCTTTTTATTCTTTCCTCATAACTTTCATTATGTTATTCCTTCATTCGACTAAGAGGGATTGAGGTTAGTCTCTCATGGTAGTCCTACCGTCTAGCCATAATGTTGTTGTGCCAAGATTACTTGGCCTGCTTTACTGCCACGGCAGACCAACCATTGTGCCTAGCTAAATGGTATTAGTAATGACATCTAATAGTAATTCTGTGAGCCAGTCTTAGTTACCGAGTCCGTTTTGTTACTACTTCAGGTCAATTACTCACCAGCTCAGTCACCGCCCTGATCTTTTCACTTAGTCGAATGCTTCTCTCCCCCGTCTTTCTTCTCCTATTTTTCTTTTTGAATGCACATGCTTGTGTATGTTCATCAAAGAGGAAAAGGGTGAGGTCTGAACCAGTTTTATTACTGGAGGGCGTTCTTCATGATCTAAGAGGGCGCCTATGCTAGTCAGCCCGAATAAGTTCTGAACCCACCTTAAATTCCTCTCTCACCGGTGGGTAACACCTGCCCTCGTTCCCGAACGAGGTTCCCGATAGAGCGATCTAAAAAACATCCCGAGTTTTCCCTTGAAGCTCGAGACGCATGCCGCCTAATCATCCAAATTCGGAGGGCGAGATTGAGGCACCTAACCAACTTGGTGACTCCACAGGGGCCTCACTACCCCTGAGTCGGATTGTTCTTGTTTGGCTAGTTTTTTCTTTATCTGCTTTCATTATCTTTTCACATTTTATTTATGGCTTGCAGGTTCTTTAACCCATTTATCCGGATGGAGGATTTTCTTATCCCCGCATTCGAGAGTGTCCCTAGGGAACAAGTTCCTTCAACTTTGTTCCCAACCAGCTTCTTGAGCAGCGGCCCCTTGTCTAGCTCCCAGGTATTAACCGGGACTGGTGTGAGGTGGGACCTAAAAATCCTTCACTCCCCATCTCCTCAATCTGGTGAAAACTCCATTGAGGTGCCATGCATCGGCAGCACTACTATTGCCTCGCACAACATGCACCCACACACCAGCAAGTGTGACGACCCAAACTTTTCCTAGCCAGTTGGAAGGCATGGCAGGATGGGGAGGTTGAGGCAGAGGCCAGCGTCGGTTGGAAGAAACCAGCGCCGGGTGAATTTGTGTGAAGTGGCCAACGTCGGTTGGCAGTGCCAGTGCCGAGTGAGTTAGAGAAGAGGCCAGCGCCGGTTGGAAGTGCCAACACCGGGTGAGTTGGAGAAGAGGCCAGCATCAGGTGGATTTGTGTGCAACGCCTACTGTCTCTGACATGCATGATTTGTGTAGGCCACTTGTTATATGCATGCTAATTGAGTGTCACATGTTCATATTTTACCGTCTTTTGGTGACACTTGGCCAGCCACCTCAAACCCAAGAGTACTTAAGCCCCCTTCCTCACCTGTGCCACCCATTCTTACTTCATCTCTCTCCCTCTCTAAGACACAAGGTGGGCAGGAGTGACTGTTG